CATTATTAATCAAGGAACCAATAAACCAATCTAAAACGTCGAAATTTAAAGCAATCAACAACAAAATGAATGGTTGTAGACTTTTACAATGGAAGCATATGCACCGGATTATAACAAAATCCAATTCTTTTTTTCGTTTAATTTTTTTAGACATTTTTTTATCTTAAAAAAAAACTGAATATACCATTTTTCATTATTTTTCGTCATCTTTCCATAGATATCCATATTAATATACAAAAAATGATTTTTTTTTTCAAAAAGACCCACTTCATTTCTTTGTTTTATTAAAAGTTTAAGGACTATTTTTTATCGAAAAAATTTAATAAATATATCAAAATTCATATTTTTTGGTACTCTTTAAACATAGATTCATATTGATGTAAAAAAACAACAACAATGAAATTTCAATATAAATTCACATTATTAATCTGCTCAGATTCACATTGTGAATCTGCCCAAATTCACATTGTGAATCTAAGCAGATTCACAATGTGAATAATAGTAAGTCGGATTCACATTGTAAATGTTAAAATTGAAATATTTACAGTTTAGATTCACAGTGTGAATCTGAACTGATCAAGATTTTTTTAATCGATGTTGATGTTATTTGATAGATGACAAAAAATTAAAAATTTTGGTATAATTAGTTTTTTTTTTGATAAAAATAAACTTAAATGTTGAAAAAACAACAAAATGAAGTAGGTTTTTTCGGAAAAAAAAGTTTGTTTTTTATATATATCAACATGGATCTCTATGGAAAAATGATAAAAAATCGTGAACAATGGTATATTCGATTTTTTTTCGATAATAAACGCGGCTTAAAAAAATTAAACAAAAAAAAATGGTTTTGTGGTAAAGATGTGAGTTTTATGGTATAATCCGTTGTATGTGTCCAATTTACAAGTGTATATTCATTCCTTGGCCGTTGATCATTTTAAATTTTGACGCTCACGATTTGTTCCTTGATTCGTGTTTAATAATAGTTCTCTATTGAACCTCACCATCATATATATATATATATATATATATATATATATAGGTTGACAAGCAGTGGCGTAGCTATTCATGCCCAAGGTAAGTCCTAGGACCTACCTTTTTTTTCTTAATACAACAAATATATATAAAAAAAACAAAGAACTACCTTATTTTTGTCAAAAGATCTACATTTTCATATTTTTTCAATTTCATTTACATAAGGAACCACATGGTTTTTGGTTCTAGATTCGCCACTGTTAACAATGCTTGATCATGTTAGAAACTTAGACCATATCCCAAGAATTTAAATTAAAAGGATTGATCTGTTAATTAACCGGATTTAAAATCTCATATTAACAAACTAATTTTGGGTTGGCCCGGGTTAAGTCGATTTTTGCTAATTTTACTTGTTACATAAAAATTGTGTGGTTTCCTTCCACTCTAATCATCCCACATTTATATGATAGAGAATATCATCCTTAACACCACATTACACTAATAATTTAGTGCATGTCGTAATTTGATGTTCCTAAACGTTCAGTATAAAATTAGTTATATA